ATATATGTATATATATATATATATATATATATATATATATATATATATATATATATATATATATATATATATATATATATATATATATATATATATATATATATATATAAATTTATTTATTTATTATTTTATTTTATTTATTTATTTTATTTATTATTTTATTTATTTGTTTATTTTTTTATTAATTTATTTTTACATTTTTATTGTTTTAAAGAGTAAGAAAGGCTTAAAATTGTAATATATTACTTTGAATTGGCTATTCTTAAATGAAAAATATTAATACAGGCCTTGTGAAGTTTCCTATGCAGTTTTTCCCCTCACTTTGTATTTAATTATGAAGTTTAAACATCATTTCAGTGACAAATTTGTGATAAATCAGCATTTTAGCGCTTTTTGATGCGCCAAAAATATTTACTACAATGTGGTCAAATTGCTTACCATACTCTATTACTATTAGTGTTTTTGTTTTGTTTTGTTTTTTTGCTAACATGATTTTAAAATGTACATTTTACATGCCAATTTTTCAAATAACAGTGTTAAATTACTCTTTAAATACATTTTAAAAAATGCAATGATGAAATATGTTGTGAAAAAAATACTACAATTTTATTAGAAAATCTATTATACGAGAAAACAGCAATACTTCTGTTTAATCTCATGAAACCTGTTTAAAGTTAAATTTATTTTGTCATTTATTTGGCAAATACTAAACTGTCCAGCACAAGCTTTCTCAAAAATCTGAATCTGAATAATAATTATAATAATTTATTAATAATAAAGGGTTTCAATTTTTCTGCCTCTCTTGTAAATAATTACATTTGTGGGTAACATCAATAGCCTAATTAGGTATATTTTAGCATTAAATAAATTTATAGATTTCATATTGACTGTTTTCAGTGTTTGACAGTTTTTTATTGGTCATTTTGTGATACAAAACTAACATTATAATAGTATATTAACATTAGTGTAGTAAAAAAAATTCTCAGGTAGATTAAACTTTTTCTTTCACAGCAGTATGTTTGTTTTCATTTAGCATGGGGGTCGTGTTTGGGACCACAAATTCTGGAGATTTGAAAGTGCTTGCTGAGGACTTGTTACAAACACCTTTTGAGTTTATAGACACATTATTTGCGTTTTAATATGAATTTAAACTCATGTGAGCTGTGGACTGCTTAATCTTAGCTAGGAAACTCTTGTAAAAGAGATTTTTAATCTTAATCTGCTTCTTTCCTGGTAAAATAAACATATATATATATATATATATATATATATATATATATATATATATATATATATATATATATATATATATATATATATATATATAT